TGTAATATGAAAAGACTGGTGAAGACCGACGGCAACGCCAATGAAGACACTCGTACATGAGGTCGCTTACAAGAGACATCGACCGTCTGCACGAGAGAGACTTAGAAGGAAATAAAGTAACCCCGCCAAAATAATAATTTAACCTTCACTACAGCCTTGCCTTCATAAAAATGTAGCCCCATAATCGAAGCCGGCAGCCGGACACCGAGAGCTTTGTGTTAGGGCCCTCAGCAATAATGCAGGAAGGCTATAAGCATCATTGCGACAGAGGACATTGCAAACGCCAAATGTTATGTCAGCAAACTTTAAGTTCGCTTTAAATATATCAAGATAAATAGCACCCAAAAGTAACGCTGATCAACCATCTCAACACTAATCGTGTTCATTTTTGATGAGCTTCAACGTTGAAAAGGAGATCAAGCCTTGAGCTAACGACCTGACTCATGAACTCTAAAAATAAGATTTCACTCAAGAATGCCATTATCCTTGGCATGAAACCAAAGCCAAGATTCTTGGGCAAGGATATTGACCAAAGCTTCGAGCCGCGCAACCTCTAAGATAATTTTGATGAATTTTTTTTTGCATTTAGTTTGACTAAATACAAGTTACTGTTATCAGCAATTAATAAAGTTTACTAGTCTAAGTTTCAAGTTGTACATGTGAGCCACTCGAACAAAATGAGGCTTCGTTAGAGCAGCTTGGTTCATCTTCGAGAATTGCAAGTTAGGATCTAAGTAGAAAATTATAGTTTGTTTTTTCAAAGGCATAGGTCACTAAAAGGAACAGCACATTCAAGATGGGCACATTCAACACCTAGCCTTAGAACACTTGATCAAGAAGTTTTCCTGAACAACAATGTCTTAATCACTGTAAAAAATATCATCATTGGGCATATATTGTTACCTTAAAGATGCATTTCCTCCAGAAACAGTTAAACACTTCGCTTTAATTTGATCGTGACGGTTAACTTCCAACGAAATTACCAATCTAGGAGGCGTTCGACAACACTAGACATCAAAACACGAGGTTTTAAAAAATGTTTCGCAAGTTGATGTCAATGTTAGTTGCACTACCATTTTGTCATCAAAATAATGTATTATGACAAAGTATAAATACATACACGAGCAGCGAAGTGCTCTCGGTGAATAGCCACAGTCATACTTTTGCTCACTGACCACATTATGACATTAAAAATAATCAGGTTCAGGATGTTATGTTTAAAGCGATTCATTACACTGTTGCTGTTTACACTGATACGGCAGCTCTAAACTGGCATAACGTGTCATCGCACAGATTACATTTGTTTTTCGACAAAATTAGACTCTTAAAAAATTCCCAAGTACTCAAAAAACAAGTTCTCTTAAGAGTAATTTTGTCTTAGGAATCAATGCAATAGACGACTGAGACGATATGAAATGGTAAAACAGAAGCTTAAACGCTTCATTAGGCGGCTTAGATTTTACCTGAGGCATCATTTCAACAGATTTACCCTGTTATATTTGGTCCAACATCATTGAGAAGCAGACAATTCTTTGAACTTTGGAAGCGTTTTCAAACTTCATCACGAGCGTCAAAACACATTAAACTATGGACAGTAATATCTCAGGATATGATAAAATATTTCAACGGAAATATTTTGTTCATCGCTATCAGATACAAATCGTAGACTAAAAGTGTCATTAAATTTTGGAGAATTCGAGTATATTTCCTCAGAACTAGAAACAACAACAAAAAGTTCGACATAGATTAAAACTGCATTATGCTATGAGTTCAAAGAATTGTTCATTGACAAGGAATTTACCAGAAAGCACAAGGAACAAACACATATTCCAAACTATAATAACATCGTTCGTACATTAAACATCGGCATCGTTCGTACATAAAACGTTACGGGCGGGACAGCGCCAGCAAGCGTTGCATAGTACAGGATTAGAGGAAATGAGCACACGATTAGTTTGTACGTAGAATCTTTATATACATGCAACCATGATCGAATAAATGCTTACGGCTTATTTTAGACAGTTTATATGGAATTTTGTGACAGAATAATATAGAGCTGTAATTTATAAAGGAGAAGGAACATTATACATAACAGTTGAGGAAAACTTGTAAACGAGTTCAGCGTTTCTAGAGCATCTGATGAAAATGAGTTATATAAAAAAACGCTAAAAATTAGTGATACAAATTACATTGCGGAAAAATAACACACACCAATGATGCATTGGGAACCATTAAAATAGAAAGGTAAATCAGCTCGTGAGATTCGAAGTCATGGAGCGCTAATGTAGGTATCGCTGAAAATTAATACTTCGGAAACTTTGTTGATAAAATGACGATGTTTGAAATGAACGCCGGGAAGTTTTGGCTTTCGTTGCGGTAAATTTGCGTTAAATGACTAATTAATTGAATGTTTACCAAACCTCGTAACGATGTCAGAGCAATAGTCAAGGACTTATTTTGTGAGAGCAATAGATAATGCCATCTGATTTTACTATTAAGTCAGAGCAATAGACGGTAGAAAGGACCTATTCTGCGATGAAATACATGTAAAAATAATACACGATAAAAAATTAACTGTAAAACGAGCTTTGACGAAGCTTTGCGACCAGTGTCATGACGAAAAGTTAATGGCTACATAAAAAAATCTTTTTTTCATAGGGAGCGATAATGGTCATGATGTTTAGATAACATTGAGCCATCACTTGACTAGTATTAAATGAACCTCGGGGCACTGCTTTTGGAGGAAATCAGCGCGTAATAGAAAAAAAGACGAGTATGCCCGCGAATGCAATGATGTTTCACAAGAGAAAATTGTGAGATTCATGATTAACTTTTTAGCGCATTTTCTCATTCATGGAAAAAATGCACTATTGTGCTCGCCATGTCCGTCTGTCNTACCGCAACTGAAGTTCAGTCAGTGCATGCATTGCAAGCTCACCAAACAGAAAGTAGAAAGACACGTGGCAACTAATCTTGACCTTTTCCAAGGGGAGGATTCGATTAAAAAATGGTTAGGTATGCACAAAAAAAATTAGCTTCAGAATAAGAGATAAAATATTGATCAAGATTCATCATACAATTTAAATACGATATTTAGAACCCAAAACCAATTAATTTAACACCAACTAATAACTAACAACTCAATAAACAAGAACTAATTAAAGGTCCAGGTGAAATTAACAAAATGGACAGACTCAGGCAAGTTGGGCTGACAACAAATTTATTGTTATATATGCATACGGTATAAGTTGCTGAAGCTTCTACTAGAGTGAATCATGCACAAGGTAGAGTGTAGACAGTAGAGATGAATACTTAAGGCAACATGAGAAGACGGTTATTAACGAGACACTAGCACCAGACCACTCAAACCTGCAAAAACCGCAGTCAAACAACAGAAAGTTGTTTGACTGCGAAAGGAAAACCTTTTGAAAAATGAGCTTAAACTAAGACAGTAACAAAAAATATTGAACCATGACCGTGGTCCACAACATCATTTGACCATATAAGCTAGATATAATAAGACCAAAAATAACTGATCTCATGACTATGCGATGAAAAGACTACTGAGGAGGTTATTTAAGTTTGTAGATTTATTGAACTAAGCTAAAGTTGGACGCACTCGACGATGCTTGACCATCTCCAAGCTGCCAGATTTTGAGAGCTATAAGGGGAAACTAAACAATTCTCAATCGTATATATACTATTGCGCTATAAATTAGCAGATTTAGCTAAATCATACTTGGAATTAGGCAAACACTTCACCAAGAGGGTTGTAGATGAGGGCGACAAAATGAGAACATCTACGGAGAAGACTGTCATGCTTTAAAATAGTTGCCATATTAATTGCAAGCTGATAATATTGCACCTGCGTTTGTATAACGGGCCGGCTTCTTAAAGCGTTAATGTATGGCAAGCAAGATTGACTAAAATCAATAACATAACAATAAGCAATATACAACCCGTAGTAGCATAAGCAATTTAGCTACTAAACCGTTCTACCACATTATAGTTATACCAATAACCGTCAATAATAATAGCTTAAAGAGTTCACAGAACTCACACAATTTAAGAACTGAAATATTCAGTAAATAGAAGCACTAGCTTAAATATGTATGTAAAATCAGAAATAAGATAACTTGAAATCAAGCAATTCGATGTTCGATAAAATGATGCGCAAATGAAGGGAATTTCCCTTCAACTATAAATGTTGTTTCGTGTTTGAATGATTGCACCAAATGAGCTGGTGATGGATGTGCATCAATACAAATTTGCCAGTAGTGTGCAGCAAGGCAAATAATACATAAAATGAATAACATTTATGAAAATTACATGGCCGAAATACACACAAATGATTTGTCGCCTTGAAAAGCATAGATGGAATATACCGGGCACTGGGCAGCACACAGAGCTCACTAATTAAATACACCTCATCTCATCTCCAGAAAAAACCTACACAAAAAACATTTGACAAAATACTAACAAGAAAATTAACTGCACCCGATAGGAATATCAATATTCTGCCCCACTTCCATGTTTAGGACGTCATATGTAGACTGATAGACGGCCATAATAGTTCCCAGTGAATGGCTACGGATAAAAATGTAATGAGCTATATCCAGTTCCGGGAACATAATTTCAACCTGAATTATACGTGAATGTTCTCCGGGAACATAATTTCAACTATATTGTTTTTAGCAATCTGAGGACGATTTTACGCAACAGAAAACATTTTAAATTTGATGTACGTTTCAGCAACCATAATTGCAAGTTATTTTGCGTTCGCTTGAATGCATCCTTTTTGAGAAGCAAGTTTGTGACAATATTACTCTCGTTACTCATGTCAGGCGTTAGAGGGTTGAGGGGCAACGAAAGAAGGTAAAAACAGTACTTATGGTTCGACATAATTCAAGTAAGCAGATCGGAAATATTTCAATTAGCTGCAAGTCATTTTTTGAAGGAACAAACAAAACCTTGGCACAACAAAAGCAAAGTTTTTAGATTCAAAGTATGGGTTCGAAGAGATCTTGACCTAGCGTGAAATTAGTGTTTGTTGTCCATGATTTGTCGGAACGGTTGACCTGAGAAAGAAGAGGATCGTTTTGTCCGACCATAACCGAAGGCTTTATTGACGAGAAAATGCCGTTTGATGGCAAGTTTGAAGATGCCTCAATAGTAATCGCTTCGGATGAGGTTGTCAATGTTACTGACGAGTTTGCATCCAGATCCATTCTGGACAAGGAACCTTCTGAAGCGCTGTGGCAGGCATTAATGCTTTGCAAGTTTCCAAAGCTCTGAGGAGCGTTGTTCGTAGAATTTGAGGCGGCTTCTGAGACTGTCCTGAAGTTAGACTGCTGTTGCAGGTCTATTATGCCGTTAAGAAGGGACTCGTGGCTGGACAACAATGATGAATAATGTGCATTATCCAGAGGCTCGTTTGGTTTTATTGGACCAAAAGAATTTTGTGAATAATTTGCTTGTATTTGCTGAGAAGTGACTGAGGTTTGCAGAGTTGTCTGGCGACTTTGCTCGTGTGGGGATGACGATAGCAGTTGCAGCACTTCAGTGCCGTACACTGGACGTTGGTCGGTGTTAACTTGTGACTCCGGAGATAATGATAGCACATTGCTTGGGAAAGATTGGGCAGGAAGGATATCTACCTGAAAATTGCCACTGGACTGCTGTTGCAGCTGGTGATGGTCACTGGCAAGCTCTTGCTGCTGAAATTGATGTATATGACGAGACAATTGAAGCTGTTGCTGCCGATTCTCCGAAAATTGCTGCAGCTGCTGTTGCGCAGAGTTGGAATGTTGAGGCAGAAGCGGTTGAGCCGAGTTGGAATGTTGTAGCAGCTGCTGTTGTGCCGGGTTGGAATGTTGAAGCAGCAGCGGTTGAGCCGAGTTGGAATGTTGTAGCAGCTGCTGTTGTTGTTGTTGTGCGGGGTTGGAATGTTGCAGCAGCAGCTGTTGTTGTTGTTGTGCGGGGTTGGAATGTTGCAGCTGTTGCAGAGATTCCTGTAATTGTTGTGTATGATGAAGAAGTTTCAGTTGTTGAGACTGAATTTCTTGTTGCGTGAGTTGCATTTGCTGCTGATGTGATATTTGAATACTTTGTTGCATTTGTCGCGCTTTGTGAATTTGCGTTTGCTGGGCTTGCTGCTGCATCAACTCTTGTTGATGTGTTAGTTGCATTTGCTGCTCAGCTTGCTGTTGATGTGTTTGTTGCATTTGCTGCTCAACTTGCTGTTGATGTGTTTGTTGCATTTGCTGCTTAACTTGTTGATGTGTTTGTTGCATTTGCTGCTCAACTTGTTGTTGATGTGTTTGTTGCATTTGTTGCTCAGCTTGCTGTTGATGTGTTAGTAACATTTGCTGCTCAACTAGCTGTTGATGTGTTTGTTGCATTTGCTGCTGAACTTGTTGTTGATGTGTTTGTTGCATTTGCTGCTGAACTTGTTGTTGATGTGTTTGTTGCATTTGCTGCTCAGCTTGCTGTTGATGTGTTAGTTGCATTTGCTGCTGAACTTGCTGTTGATGCGTTTGTTGCATTTGCTGCTCAGCTTGCTGTTGATGTGTTTGTTGCTCAGCTTGCTGTTGATGAATGTGCTCCTGAATGTTCTGATGTCGCAGATCCCTGATGAGGACAGTCTGTGGAACAGGCTGAGCTAGCAGCATACCTTGCTCACGCCCTGATTTGTTCATCTCCAGGGAATCGTTACTGTGCTGCAAATTCTGCCCTAAATTTTGATGAGATGCCGGGACCAAAGCTATTACACCATGTGAATCAGAAATGAGATTGTCGAGTGTCGAATTGGAGGCACATGGCCGAGTCTCAAAACAGTTGAAGCTTTGCATAATATTTTTCTCGCCATTTTGACTCTCAATTATTAGATTGGCTCTTGGATTAGAAAAGGCGTTGAAAGATTGTTGGTCAGGGGCAACAATTCGGTTTTCAGCGAACCTTGTTGCTTGGTTGTTATTTGAGTCACCATTATTGGCAAAGGTAAACGAATGTGCAGTTACATCTTGGTTCGTGACGTTGCCGCTTTTGTAAGACTGAGTCGAGCTTGATGCATTGCTTAGAATAGAAGTCTCATTGGGAGCAGTGGTTTCGCTACCTGCTGAGCTTCCTGAGAAGTCACCAGACTGAGGCAAGGAGCCACTGTTTGGTGCTTCTTGATTATCAACTTGCTCCAAAAAATTGCGTAGATCATCAATCTGTTGGCTGATATCAGCTTTGTTCATCTCGCTGAACGTACTATCTGAAGGAGTTGCAGCTACAAACAAAACGTCATTTGATTGGTCACTCTTGAACGCAATTTGATTCGAGGTCGAGTTTGAATTAAAAGACAAGTTGTCTAAGGTATGAACATTTTTCTCCTCAAGGTTCCCACACAGCTCGATTTGGAAAGAGTTGGTGATGGCGTTCGGGAAGTCAGCCTGGCGCGGTTTCGAGCAAGAAGCGGGAACTTGTGAGCGGGAACTCAGCACATGCAAGCTTGATTTGTTGTCCAAAGTGAAAGAGTGACTCCTTTTCTTGCTGGTCTCAGACTTCACGGAAAACTTGTGGACGATTGAGGAACATGACGAGGAATTGTTTTGCAGCGGCAATTCCTGTTTAACTACACCAAAATCTGCCCCAGTCGGATGCCGAGTTTGAGACATCAACGAAGGCTTGCAGTTGCTAGGACGGTCTTCAGGAAAGGCTGTAGTTAGGACCAATTGCGAGTTTCTGGACGATGCCTCCGAGTTTCTATTTGAAATATACAACTTTTGGTCCAACTTCGAAGGAACGACGTCCAGAAGATCGTGACTCAGTTGAGTCTCCTGACCAACATTCTTGCTCAAGCATCCCTTCTGTGATGATCGACAAGCGAAGAATGCATCAAATGATGCAAGGCTTTCGTTAGAAAGAAGTGCCTTGCCAACAGAAGGCAGGGGCACCAATGTGGCATCACTTGGCAGGGCGTAGCTGCGATAAGCTGCAGGAGGCACAGAGTCTTTTGCATTGGCTTGTCCAGTAGAAGCAGGACAGCGGTAATTCTTCACGGCATCTTTGAACTGCCTCACTTGATAATCTGAAAACCGAGTGAATATTAGGAGGCGGCTCATAATGCTAGTGGCCACAACGCATACACCCTTACACAGCCTGATTAAAAATTATCACTTAAAATTTGAACAAAATAAGTTAATATGACGCATTAACCTTTCAACAGATATTTACTAATATATTATGTGCAATAATAACTAAGTTTATTAACAGAACTCCTATCCTTCATCTTTCTTATCTGCTAGTTTAATTAAATAATTTTGAGCAACATCGGTTTGATTCACAGAGAAATAACCATAGCCATGATCAGGCAGGCAGAAGCATCAAGTTGACTGTAATTTCCTGTAGCATCAACTGAGAGAAGGAACAAACCACTCATTTTGTCGAGTGTCGGCAAGAGGTGCTGGAAGAGGGATACCGCAAACACTTCCTTGGCGTTAGTTGTGGCCCAATTGGCTAAAGCCTTCCTGGCTGCATCGGACTGCATAGCATCTGAAAACAGCAATAATCATCAGAAAATTAAAGGAGAAAATTTACCTCAACAGGAAATTTACCTCAATTTACCTTAAAGAAGAATTTATCTCAACAGGAAATCACAGTAAAAATCTGTTTATCACCAACTGGAACCTCGTGCAGCTGCTAGCTGTGCTGTCGCAAGCAATTTGACACGCAGTGCACCTGATCAAAGTATCTCGATGAATTAATGTGAACAAAATTAAATTAGTGATTATGTCGTTGATAAAAAGCCTTCGAAAACAATTCAGGAGTAAACACACAAAATAATAACATATATCTGACCTGGACTTGAGAATAGTAACAGAATGGGTGGAAATAATATTCAACAGCTCGTGTGCACAAAATACTAATAAGAAATTAAGATATTCATAACACGCACAAGTTTAATCAACAGAACGTAACAGCCTCTTAGTATTATATCGTCGTTGCAATACGTATAAACTTGGTCGATCTAAGCACGAACCAAGCGTCCATGAAACCAACGTTTCCTTGGCAGCCTAAGGATTCCATTCCTTATGCTGCCTCTTGGAACAATTCAAACAAGGATTCCGCTTGGAACAATTCAAATAGAATTAGAGAGGAGTTATTTAATTAATTCAATCAATAATTTGAAAATACATGCAGCACTTGTATAGTTTACCTCCATGAAGGCTAGCTAGCAGAATCTTCAACTTGGGAGACGAAAGCAAGTCCGGTGATAAGTCTGTTAACAAAGAGAAGTTATATTAACAAGAGAATGGACATCGCGCCATCACACGTAAAATTGACACCGAAAAGAACGAATTATGACCGCTGGTATCAAGGGAAACTGAGCGCGTCTGACAGCCCAAAATGTCGCCAAACGTCGAGGCCAGTTACCACAGGAGGGAGAACGTCAAACCAGATTATAAACAACAATTAAAGACGAATAACATCGCAGAGAACACAACTTCTCGAACGAAAGTCTGAAATAGTAAACAGAGACGTGACAACTTCGTGGCGACGCAAGGCAGCGATGAACTCGCCAGCGTCACCAGTGGTAACTAGTTGAGAAACCAAGACTGAAAAAAAACACAATTCCAAGTTATCACCTGGCAGTCCGAGCCGTTCATGGCTGGCAGTCAGCATTATGAACATGATTTGAAGCGGCATGTAGAGTACTTGGAGGAATCACATTCAATAGTTCCTAAATCATATAGAATACGGGGGGAAAAGGTTGGGCGCAATATTGAAGCGCATGCCGGTGGCGAACATTGACCAACTTTACACTTTAGCTCATATTCCTTCCCGTGAGCAAGAACGCTAGAAGGCATTTCGGTCTATGAAATCAAGTGCTTAAAGCTACAGTACCGTATGTCCACAACATTAACTCTCTTTTTGTCTTCGTTTCCGATATTTGACTTATGCTTTCCGGCCATAGGGTCGGTCAGAAACCCTTGTCATTTTGACCCGAAGACTACAGGAGGGTCACAAGATCCTTACGATGTCACAAGTTCCTGATGATCTCTTAAGCATGCTAAGCTGAGCCAAGCATGATCCAACTGCACCTTCTCCGGTCTAACCACGTCACGTCGCAACACTTCTTGCAAAATGAACCTGAGCGGACTTAACCTAACCTCATTGGCTGCAGGCAGTTAGCTAGGCGGGGCAAGTGAACAGGCAGAGGATATCATCAATCATTGGATATCATTGGTTGCAGGGATGTTGTGAGTCAGGGTAGCGTGAATAGGTTAGGCCAACAGAGGTTAGGCGGGAGAAGGTGAGGCCGGATGCAGAACTGCTTGCTCATGAGTATGCATGCTGAGGTATTGACTGAAGACCGACGGCATTATTATATTTAACTAGTGATTCACGTGGAACTAGTGATTCACTGGTCTAGATTACAGTGTTACAACGCATTTTGCAACGTATGGCCCTGAGGCTGAATGTAGTTATTGCTTGCTGAGGCTGGGCGTTTACTCTAGAACTTATTCAAGAGTTAATATGTAGCCCTTGGCTGCGCCTCCACCATATTTTAGTCTTCCGAGTGTTAGTAAAACGACTGCGCTGGTTTCAAGAAGCAAATAACTGCGTGAATTATTTTGACAAAGCATCAATTAGACACAGGCTGTCGCCTGTCATAGCCCAATCATCAGCGACTTAGTAAATTTATATGTATATTAAATACAGAAAACGTTTAGTGTGCTAACTGGAAGCAAGTGACTTGATAGACGTAAAAAATGCGAATCAAATTCCGTCAAGAAAGAAGTCGCTCATTACCATTTCTGTTGCCATGCGCATCCACTTGGTCCATGGTTGAACAATATAAGGTTGACCCACGCTTTGTGAAATTTTGACAGTTCTGCACATCTTCACTGTAATGTCACAAGTATCGAAAAACGTTAACAAATGTCGTGAGTGTGATTAAACACGTGTTAAAAGTGTCTGTTTTATATAGCGGTTTCAGCATTTATTAGGCCGTTGGCCTGTCGCCGATTCTTAAAATCACAAAACATTTACAGTTTGTTACGGTCTCGAACTCTTAACTCGCTGCCCTTATTCTGTTGTGCCTAACCTCCCGGCCTCCTCGCCGATTCTGACCAGAAACTGGCACACATGCAGAGCTGGGATCGAACCCGCACCTCTCGGCTCCAATCTTGTTACTCTGATCTTTAAACACTGGGCCACCCTGCCCTTTGAACTATATTTTAAAAAAATTACCATTCCAAATTTTGTAGATATTTGTCCATAATTGCGAACTAATTCTGTCGTACGGAAAATAAATAATCTGAAAATAAAATCTCCGGAGGCTGACCGATCAACTTCCTGTCTCGCTAAACTGCGAAAGGCTGCCACTTCACTGATCATCCGTCTGAAACACCTACCGTAAGTCCGCAACACATTGCGTTTTCGTCAGGTGAGTGGACTTAGCATCTCTTTGATTGATA